AGAAACTTTTTAGTTTTTTTTGTGATCGAAAGGATCATTGAGCATATAAAAATTGATTGAAAAGGTTTTTTTAACTTTTTGTATGCTGCACTGTGCAAAAAGACAAAAAAAATTTAGCACTGTGCGAATTTTTATTTTTTAGATTTTTGCACCGTGCAATGCAAATTTTAAGAAAAATAAAAATAGCATAGTAAATGATCTACAGTCAGATACGACAAGTCAAAAATTTCCCGAAAATTGGACCGCTGCGTTATAGAACAGGCCAAATTTTCCGACCGCACGGTGCAAATTATTTGTTTTCAATTATTGCACAGTGCAAAAGTGAAATTGATCAAAATTTTTTTTTTCATAAAAATTGAGGTTACATACATTACTAATTTCACCTTTTCTTTCTTTACCTGAATATGTCAGCACTGTGCAAAAACAAAAAACTTTTTCACTGCACCGTGCAGTCTCGCCATTTTTTTATTTCTCCAAAAATCCCGAAACTTCCGGCATTTCTCGTCTATTCTTGACTACTTTTTCTCTAGCACAGCAACAAACAAACTATAACGTGACGCAACACCATTTATCGCATTTATTTGGACTATAAATCAAAGAAACGTCATGATTTTCTGACTTCTCGGCCGAAATACGCCGAACAAATCATTGGTTTTAGTTGACTATCAATATTTCACGTCTAACGATTGCTCAACGTGACTCAACGTGGGTTTTTTCAGAACTTGGTTAGTCTGTTTTGTTACCGCAAATTGCAAAAAAGAGCTAATTTTAGGCCAAGAATCAGTTTTTCAATGATCGCTCGATTTTCGAGGTGAAACAAACATGTTTACTTCCTTCTAAATGACAGTAGAAGAGCCAGTCAATTGGGCAGTTTAATAATCAACGCATAAAATCGGAAGTACAGTAGCGGAAGATCAATTTTTATCGAAAAAATTGACCGCACTATGCCTGAAAAATAAAAATCTCAAAAACTCTTAAATCGCAATGTAAAAAACAGTCTGACCAACAACAGTAAGATAGAAAATCAATTATATTTTCTGTCTATAACAATTTGTAATTTATTTTTTTACATTAAAATGCTAATTTTTTTGATTTTTTAAGAACTGCACAGTGCAAAAAAACAAATTAAAAAAATTTCGCGTTATGCAGAAGAATCTCGAAAAATCTCAATTATAAAACACTCTATTTTCTCCATTTTTTATTTCTCTACGCACCTTCCACTTCCTAAACACTCTCTCTCCCCCCTCCAGAACCTTCTCCACGTCTCCGAACCCATCCAGCTCCCTTTGAAGAAGAAAAGGATCACCAAACAGGGCGGCTGTCGCCGACAGACCCGCCACACACCGACGACGAAAGCAGGGTCGGGGCGCGATTGTCGACGAAACGCCGCCATCCGCAGCCCGTCAACGAAACGCTCCAGAAACGGATGATCAACTCGACGGGGCTGGGAGGCTGGAAATGCGTTCAAGTCGAAGGGAAAATGCTGGAAAGTCGCTGAAAATTCGGAGAAAATCTCAATGAGCTGATAAATAGGATGAAGCAGCATGTGTTTTGTGCAAGGAAGAGGATGAGAAAGCTTAAAATTTCACGTAAAATCTAAAAATCTCAAAATAGCCTAAATTCTCTAAAAACCAACAAGTTTGACCTAAAATTTTTGCTTTAAAAATCCTGGCACGCGGCTGGTGCATCCTACAACCGTTCGTGCCAGAGCTGGCCAATGGCCAGAGATTTTTTTAACGAATTTGAAAAAAAGAGCGGCAAACTTGTTATGCCTTCAAAAAAGCCGTTTTTTTCTGAAATGCCTAGAAATCTTGTGTTTTAGCCAGCATTTTGAAGAGATATGTAAATATCTCTTCAAAAATAAGTTGTAAAATACGCTGTCGCTTTCTTCAGTACAAGTAAATTTTTGTGCTTCAAAGTCAAGTATTTTCGATACAACACATATCAATCTGTCGAGAAAATAACGAAGACATCGAAAAATCGGATCGCCGCCGAGAAAATTAACTGTGTTGCGGTAAAATTAGCAGCGGCATTGTGCTCATTATTTTCCCGACGGATGATATTACTATTTTCATGAAGTGCATACACATTTTTTCTCTTTCGCATATTGCATTTTGGACTTTTCCCACGCCATGCGATCTTCGATGCGACAGAGTGCTCATTATTTTCCCGAAAGACTGAAATTAATAACTTTTCAAATTTCCACTTCACTTTGAATTGATCTTTAGTCCAATTGACATGTGGTTGATAAGATCGATTATTGTTCCATAATTATTTATTTCCCCTTTTTTCATTGCATTGAAATCCATGCTATTATAAAAAAATAATTTATCAACCAGGAATTGATAAGAACCTCGTGGTTTACGACGAAATTCCAATGCCACGCGGTGTTTGAAGGAAGTGCGACGTCATCGCCGGTCACGAGGTGTGATTCATCTCGACGACACGGGAAACCAGACGGTTTCAAAACAAGTCACAACACGCGATGTGCGGGAAAACAAGGTTAGGCACGTAGAATTGCATAAACCATGTTAAGGCTGTTTATGAAATTGAAAATTATAGCAGCAGCTAAAGTTATCAAAAAAAAATTTTTGTCAAAGATTAGCATATTCGAATGGATTGAATTCAAGTTCGTATTTTAATTTCCAATTCTTAAAAATAAATTTGACAAGTTTCTTACTGGATTTCCGATTTTTTCTCCTCGGAGAGCGGTCGGTTTTTCCTTCCACCCATGCCGTCGCGGGCGCAAAGGGCTTTGCCTGGGACAGTAGCTATTAAGAGTATTGGACTTCGAGTTGGTACAGTCGACAAAACGCTGGGAGAAGGAAACGGTGGAGCTAATCTCGGAATATGTACTGTTCAGTTCTGGTAGTGATGCTACTGGAATGGACACCTCCTACACACACCATCTCGGACGCCCGAAGACAAGAAGGACCAAAGCACTATGTATAGCCACCGATGGAAGGATGTTGCATTGACTGATCAATAGAAACCATACTGATTCACTCCATAATTTTGACGTGTGATGAGCTACTCCGTTCGCAATGTCATTGGAGTAACTTATGCAACATGTACTTCGAGAAAACAAGAGTTCACCTTGCACTGTGTGAAAACCAATTTGATTTTGCTGCCACATAATTCATTTTCTCTGGGCGATACGACTTTTGATGCGACAGAGTTGTCCTTATTTTCTTGACTGACTGATACAGTGTACGTGGCAGAAGCGACTTCGTGAACGGAGTAGTACGCCCTTTTTTAAATTGCTTCTTTGCGGTTTTCAAATTTTCGCCAATGTCGAAACGCCCGACAACCCAGTAACGATACAAGACGAGAGCTCAAGAGTCAAGTGATTTATTCACTGGAAAGGAGGCCTTTTATAGGGACCTAGGAAAGTACAATCAAATTTGAATAAATGTAGATTGTTCTTCGTGGGAAAATCCTCGAAGCTCGGTTGTTCCGCCTCACAGCCAAATCAAATGAAAACTAAAAAATAAAATCGCCAAACAGATCCTTCCTCATTTAACATTCTTGCTGTGGGTACATAGCCAGAATTGCAATCCAATTAGGGAAAAGACGATTGCTAGACCTTGGCTAGACCTTGTTGTCTAGCCAAATCAATGGCTTTGTGACTCAGCTCTACACAACCTTGTCTCTTTCCACCATCGTACGTCAACCCAAAATTAAGAAAAAATGTCTCCAATCCGCTTTGGGGTTTCGTTCGAACGAAATGTCACAAGTCACACAAAATGGTTCCACCAGAAAAAACCCAAGAATTTTTTTGTGACACTTCTTGTGTTTTCAAAAGATGAAAAGTACGGTCAAATCATCGAGTTGAACTAGGACATTATTTCAGTTGTCGTGCAACTACAACGGTACTCACATTTTTCTACAAGTCGAGCTATGCACTTAAGAAAATGATATATACTAATAATGTACTTCTTCTTTGATGTGATTTGCAAATAAATTTCCACTGTACAGCAAAGATTGGTCATAACATCTATTAGAGCAAATCGTATTTTACAATCCTTTCTATTGCCTTTGAAGGGCAAAAATCAAAAGTAATTGTAAGTTTCTGGCGTTTCTCCTCAGCTCTAGCTCTTGAAGAGCCCACATATTCATTTATTGTGTCAAAAAGCACGTTGTAAATTTTTTTATCCAGTAAACATTACACTGAACCTGCTCACAATGCTCGCTTACACCTGCTTTAAAACAAAATATTCTGGCGATTTCCGGAAGAGCTGCGGTGATTGTAAAGTTTGCGTGCTTTTTATAGATTGTGTTTTAGATCAGCGATCTATTTTTGGAAACGATTCGTCATCGAAGGAGAAGGGAAAAGATTGGATGATCACTTCATCGCCGGTAATGGGGTCATGATTGATGGTCGGGGCTTGTTGATCGCCGTCTTTTCAACGATAAAAGGAGTTGCGCATCGAAAGAGCAAAGACTGGTTTCGCGGTGTCGAGGCTGATATCATCAATATCCGATGGAGAATTTCATAATCGGAAATGGAAAAACAGTGATCAGCGAAGATCAAGGTTACATATTTATACGTATAGTTAGGGCAGATTGCGAAATCTGCTATGATATTAGTGCTACAGAGTTACAGCACAAGTTACGGTATAAACTGCAGGGTGTTTCATGAAGCCAGGTTTGAGAGTTTTTGAATGCAAAAACGTTCAAGAAAGACGTTCCAAAATTAATGATTTAGAAGTCGACGACGCATTTTCACTCATTCTCAACCGAGAAACTTGTGGACTTTTCACCACATATTTAAAATGCCAAACCCCCAAAATTCATTCAAACTTTCATTTATTAAAAAAAAACAATCGCAAAAAAGAAATCTCCAATATTTTACACATATCACATCTATTCAATATCAATGAATCCTGTTGAAGAGACGACACTGTTAGGGTATCGTGGACCTGAGGGAAGTTGGCTGATCGAACGCAGCGATCATAACAATAAAATAGGAATTGCACTGTGCGGTTTTATGGGCTTGTTTACACATTACTTGTTGGGTCAACGAAGGAGCTCAGAGTGGTCGTGGAGTTGAGCTGAAAATTTCATTTTTTAGAGGATTTTTTTTTATTTGTCGATTTTGTAGATTTTTTTGGTGTGTTTCGAGATTTGCACCGTACAATAGGCAGAAACATAACTTTTTTGAGCCTTGCATTGTGCAAAAAGAAAAATAGAAAAAATTAAGGTTTTGGAATGTCCTAAAGGCGTATGTGGTCTGCCCAGTGCAAAATTTATTTGTATGGACCTAAGTTTACTATAAACGAATTTTTTTTATTTTTTCACTGTGCAAACGCCAAAAAAAACGATTTTTACGGTTTGCACAGTGCAAAGAAAAAAAGAAATAAAAAGTTTGGGGTTTCTGAGTGCCCTGAAGGCCTATGTGGTCTACGCAGTACAAAAGATTTTTTTCACGGACCGGTAGTTAACAGTTCCAGACAAGATTTGTGCTTTTGTACTTTTGCACTGTGCAAAATTTTTTTTGGAATTTTTACACTGCAGAAAAAAAGAAAATAAGCGTAAAAATGAAAACTTTTTTGCACGGAAAATGCTAAATCTTGCACTACGCAAACTTTCAATTTGTTTTGCAACATATAATTTATGAATTTTTGAGAATTTTTTATCGTCCACGACGCAAAATAAACGCCACATCTATTATAATTTGACGTATTTTAAAACTCCTATTACCTGCATTGGAAGGGTTCCCGGGCACACCGACACATCCGGCTCTACTAAAACTTCATTCTTCGCCCGTTTTCGAGGCAACGAGAATCCACGTTTCAGCAGCTGAAAATATTTTTTTCTTTTTTAGAATTTCAAAAACAGTCTTACTCTAATCCTCAAGTTCGGAGTCAAAGAAGTAACATGAGGTTGGCTGAGGACTTCTCGCTTGTTGGTGATGATGTCTTGGCCCAAAAGTCGGTTATAATGGGTGGTCAAGTGTCTTCGGAGGAGGGTTTTGTGCGCTGGAATTTGAAGAACTTCGGCCAGAGATTCGGCAGTGAATGTGGGCTCGTGGACCTGGAAAAAAGTATTGAAATTGAACCGGATTTTTTGGGATTTTTTGAAATTTTTGATATATTTTTGGATTTTTTAAAATTTTTCAAATTTTTTTTTTAATTTTGATTTTTTAAATTTTTCCAAATCTTTTTTTTTACATTTTCAAAAAAAAGCTTTTTTTAAATTTTCAGAGTTTTTTTATTTTCATAAAATAAAAAAAACCCCAACTTACCATAAGAGCTCCATGAACCCCACTAAACATCAAATTCGGCGTAAATTCGGACAAATCAATGTTCTTCAGCCACTGCACCACACAAGTATAGGCCCATTTCTCCACCTCTTCCGGGGCTTGAGGCTTCTGCAAGATCTCCAAATTGAACGTCTTCTCCAATCGATGGGAATTGAAGTCAACAGAACGAAGGAATTGAATTCCCCGGGCTAAAGTTGCATGATTCATCGCTGAGGTCACTTTCATTTCGACCAGGTCTTGCGCTGTTAGGTAGAGCAACATCTGACCGTCGATCATGTTTTCAGCGAAAACATCGCGTAGTTGAGGTAGACCAATGTCGTCGAGCCAGAGCATCACCTGAAAAATGGAAAATTTAATAAAAAAGTTTTGCAATTCTGCACAGTGCAAAAACATTTTTTTTTTTTGTTTTTGCACGGTGCAAAAAATAACATTTTTTTTGTTCTTTTGCGGCACAAAAAAAATCTTAAATTAGATTTTACACAGTGCAATCAATCCTTTTTTAGACTGCACTGTGCAGAATTTTAAATCCCCAATTTGCACTGTGCAAAACAAAAAATTTATAGTTTGCACTGTGCAATGCAAACAATCAAAATTTCAGGCAATTCAAACAATATCTAACCTGATGAGTATCCATGTTATCGGCAGGCTCCGGGACATTTCCATGATTTCTATCAATCGCATTCAACAAACATCTCAGCTTCTTCCGATGCAGACAACTCTTGATTCCCAGCTCTTTCTCCATCGCATTCATCCCCATGTTCAACAAATATCTACCAGTTGCGACATGTTTCTCGGCCTCTGGGGCATATTGTCCCAGCCCAACTTCCGCCAGCCACTCACAGACCGTTTCCGTGGGCCAATCGCAGAAAATTTGGGCCAACGGCCGAATTGGAATCGCTCCGGTTAAGGGGGCGCCCAACGAGACAATCCTCGCGCTGGCCGAGGATTTGAGGCCTCGTTGGAATGCATTCGACTTGATCTCTTGCGAGGTGGAACGGGTCAACTTGCCGAAGAGATTTCGCAAAGTTGAGCGGGTTCGGCCGCGTTTGAAATTATTGGAGGTTTTGGGTCGAGAACGGCCGATTTCGTCGTCGCTGTCGGCTGAAATTTGTAAAATACGATATGTACCTTGGTCGAAAAGTATATAAGGCTAATTTTAGGCAAAGCCGTTAGTTGAAATCAGCGATTTTTTTACGTTTTTAGGGCAAAAATAAGGAAAAAATGCAAAAAATTTATTTTTTTGTTAATAACTGCACTTTTCAAGCCTCAAAAAAACAAAAAAAATATTAGAATTTGTTAGTGAACTGAGGACAATTCAACCTCAAACTCTCACTCAAATCATTCAATTCACGGCACGCGCCACGATTCAGATTGGGCGTGGACAGAGAGCGCTTGGCCTGCGCCAGTTTGGGATCTGAATTCAATTTCAACCAACGCTTCAACGCCGGATCGCCGGCCAAAACCTGCGACGTCGGGCGGGCTTCAGACTCACCTCCAATGTGTGTGGAACTGGTGGCGGAGAGCCGGGGACGGGGAAGATTCAGGGCGGATATGGACTGAAAAAATTTTTGAAATACGATTTTTTTAAAAAATTTTTGGAAAAAATTTCAAAATCTTATTTGCACAGTGCAAAAAAAAAATTCTGATTTTTTGCACAGTGCAGTCCGTTTTTACATTTTTTTATAAAAATTGCACCGTGCAAAAAAATTTTTTTTTATTTGTTCCCAAAAACTCACCTTAGAATGAAGAGGGCGAGGCAGACTAGTGGTTTGGCCATTCTGATTTGTATGGAAATGAAGTTCACCACCGATTCGGCGGATTTCGTCCAGTTCTGCGGCCAATTGACGAGCTGTTGGGGAAGATGGAGCTATTCTGAAAAAATGGGCGTTATTTTTCAATCTTTTTATTCAGAATTTTTTCACTGCGCAATTTTTTTTTTATTTTTTGCACTGTGCGGAAACTTTATTTTTCTTATTTTTTTGCACTGTGCAAAATTTTTGTTTTTCTTATTTCTGCACTGTGCTGGTTTTTTTATTCTTCTGCAGTGTGAATTTCAAAAAAAAAAAAAAAAAATAATTTTTTTCTTTTCCACATCAAAAAAATAAAAAATTTCCAATTGCACCGTGCGAAACACAAAATTTGTTTCCGCACCGTGCAAAAACACATTTTTTCGAATTGCACTGTGCAAAACACTTTTCCAAAAAAAAACTCACCCAGAATTGGTCGGTTGCGCAAACAACGACGTAGTCTGATGAATCGGCCTCGGCGTTGTCGAATTCGAAGCCACTGGCTGCCAGCTGACACTCTGCTGATGCGGTTGCCCTCCGGCACTCAAACTCGACAAATACGAAGCCGACGGAGGGATGGGCGATCGATGGATGTAATGGCTCGGACTTGCGTTAAAATTCACATTTGAATGGACCGAACTGCACAGAGAGGCGGGGAAAGACGAGGAATGCGCCATGTTCTCCTTGACGTCATCGAAAAGCAACCGCCGAATTTGTTGATTTATATCGACCGGCTGATGTTTTGGTCGATTCGGCGGTGTGGGTGAGGGGTTTTGATTTTGGAAGCGTTGCGATGAATTTGAGCCATTTTCCAGTTGAGAGGATCGAGAGGAAGATCGCTGTTCGCCTAATTGGGAACGGAGCGAGTTGATTTCCAATTTTTTCTGCTCATTATCGGCCATCAGACGCTGGACAATTATCCGGAGCTGCTCCATTTCTTGGTCTGAAAATTAAATTTTTAGAAAAAAAGCAGATTTTTTTGCACCGTGCAAAGAAATCAAAAAAAATTTGCACAGTGCAGAAAAAAAATAGATGGAAAATATTGCACGGCGCAAGAAAATAAAAAAACTTTATTCTGCACTGTGCAAAAAATATCAAAAAAAAAATCTTGCACTGTGCAGTTTAAAGTTGCAAAAAAAAATTTCGCACGGTGCAAAAAAATTGAAAGAAAATTTTGCACAGTGCAGTTGACAAATTTTTTTTATTGCACAGAACTTTTTAAGAATCTTGAGCACAAAAGTTTGCACCATGCAATGAAAAATTCCGCACTGTGCAAGAGAAAAATTAGCTCCGCGGAGCTCCGTTTAAAAGACAAAAAAAAATTTTTTAATTTTCCGCGCAAAGCAAATTTTTTTTCATACAATGCTAATTAGCAACGACGTATTTTAAAACGTTAAAATCTTACTTTGCTCGTTCGTTTCCGGTCGACTCATCGACAAGTTGTGTTGATTCATCAAGGTCTGCATGGAATGAGTGAGACGCTCAATTTCGGCCTAAATCAAAAATTTATTTACTGGAAAAATTTGCAGAGATCAATTGTTTTTTATAAAAAAATCACCTGACTATTCTGCAGTCTCTTTTCGGCTTCAGCTTTCTCCCTTTCCATAACGGTGAAGCGCGATTTCAGCTCGGTAATTTCTTTGTGCAAATCCGCCTTGTAGCTGGGGTCCTCCTGAAATTTGTAAAATACGGCCTCTATGATTTTGGCTAAATTCTTACATTACTGTTTGAGAGCACTTCATACGAATAAATCCTTCGTTTATCGGCTAATTTAGTCTCCAAATCTTGGATTTGTTCCCTTTGTGCGCCAACTTGGTCGGTTAGGACTGCCACCTGAAATATAAAAAAGGATTTTACAACACAGATACCAGAAAATTCGTAATCATAAGCTGAATTCAAGATTTTTTGAAATTTGTCGTCAATAAAGTACAGTAATCCAGTACAGTAAGAAATTTGTAAAAATACATGATTTTTGGTTAACATGTTTCTTAAAATCTATTTTTTTTTGCAATTTTTAGTCGTTTTAGAAGCTTGCAACATAATGCCAGAGGCTTAAAAATTTGGCGGGAAGATTAAAAATACAAAAAAAAATTCTGCTGGGAAACCATACAATCACCAGATTAGGATGTTGTAAGCTTAAAGAAGCTGATAAGTCCCCATTTTCGTACTTGAAACATAATGCCAAGATTTGTTTGATTTTAAACTTTGGCGGGAACTTAAAAAAAATTTTTGACAAAATGGTGTAGAAACTCAGAAAATTAGTTCAAAATGTCTTTGAGACGAAGGGAAAGCAAAATTATTACAGTTGCCTACCTGTAAGCACAAGGTATCTCGAGTAATCGCCAATCGTCGAAGTTTTTCTTGCAGTTCGGGGTACTCCGGACAGGAGACCGTGGACATCGACGGGGAAGGACTCTAAAATTATTCGGCCATGATACACGTATGTATATTACAACAGCCTCAAATCTAATTTCTGAACATATTTTACCCTCAAAAAAACTTTTTTTGAAACTTGATACCAAGTCTAATATGAATTACTTTTTTTGACGTATTTTCCAAACAAAATCCCGAAATTTACCCTCAGGGCGGGCTAATTCCCCGCAGTTTTCATCCCGAATTTTTTGTTGAGCCCGCCGAAACAAGAGGCTCCGACGAAATCCAGTTAGGATCAGGCCTTCTTCGGGCTTTCCTCGGGATATTATTCGGGGAAAAACATGTGGCTACTGGTCACAATATTGAGTCAATCTCTGACCAGGGAAATACAAATCCCTGAGGCAAATATTGAGATTTCAGTTTTTCTTCTAATCCTTGTCGCTGCTGCACAGTGCAGCTTTTTGTTTTCTTATGCACGGTACATTTTTTCTTCGAGAGCGTTTGCACAGTGCGGAATCAAAATTTTTTTTGTCGCCGTTGCACAGTGCAGTCCTCAAAAGTTCACTTGCACTGTGCAGATCCGAATTTTTGTTTTCGCACAGTGAAGTTCCGCCAACTTTCTTAATTCGACTGCACTGTGCAAAAACAAACAAACGACGTCATTCTACAGTACTCTATTCCACAAAAGTATTTAGATTTTTTCCTTTCCCGAACTAATACACTTAAGACACCAGCCAAAAAATTTGCTCAACAACTTTTGCACACTGAAAAAAAAGCGATGTTCCCGCCACGAAAAAACGGTCCAATTTCAATTCGAAAAAACGCAAAAAGAAACTGGCCCTTGTCCAATTAGACGAGTGCGCAAAACCCCTCCGGCAAAAACCTTTGCCCTTCCAAACTCTTCGGCTTCGCAAAACCTTTCGGCCTTCCCATCCCCCCTCCACGAAAAAAAAGTCTTGGTTTCATCCCCGTGGACAAATTTAAATTTGGACAAAGAAAATGGCCTAAGGCCATGTTCAATATTGCCTCTGCGAAAACATGATAAGATGGAGGAAATTTGAAGGGAGCATTTGAGGAGCTTGCCGGAGGGCATAAGGTAAAAATGAAAAAAATAGTTTGGATTTGCACTGTGCAATTTCTGCAATATTTTCATTGCACTGTGCGGCCAATCCTTTTTGATCGCAGAGTGCAAGGGAAAGGTTTTTGGAACAGTGCGAAAAATTTTTGGCTGCACAGTGCATTCAAATTTTTTGACTGCACAGTGTGACAGAAAAAAAACATTTTTCCGCACCGTGCAAAATGAAAACAATGAAAATTTGCACAGTGCAAAAGCAAAGCTTCATTTCTACACAGTGCAAAATTTTTAGCTGCACAGTGCACTCAAATTTTATGAATAAAAAAATTTTCACAGTCCGACAGAAAAAAATTTCTTTTGCACCGTGCAAAAAGAAAGCTATGAAAATTTGCACTGTGCAAAGTCAAAGCTTCATTTCAAAAAAACATGCAGGCCGCACAGTGCACTGAGATCTTGTTTGGTTGCATAGTGCAACAGAAAAAACGTTTTTCGCACCGTGCAAAAAGAAAACTTAATTTTTGCGCAGTGCAAAAGACAAAGTTGTTGCACGGTGCAAAGAGAACTGAAAATTTTTTGCACAGTGCAAAAGTAAAACTTTATTTTTGCACAGTGCAAAACCAAAAAAGAAGGTCGCTGCGCAGTGCGGTGAGGAATGAAAACTTTTTTTCATTGCGCAAAAGAAAAAAAATATTGCACGGTGCAGAAAGAAATGAAAAATTTCTGAAATTTCTGCTCTGTGCAAGACAAAAAAAAGATTAAGTTTTGTGTTTGTTTCTAAAAGTAATGTCTAATATAAAGCAATAAAAATTGGTAAAATCCGGCGTCACTAATTGCCCAATATCCCCTCAGTTTTCCGTCGGGTTTGAAGCGATTTTTAAGGATGAGAAGCGAGAAGAATGGATAGGCCTAGTCCAAATTCTTGTGTCCTCAAAAAACCCCTTAAGGGCATAAATTTGGAGCGGAAATTTGCGCACTTCGCCGCGGGGCAATGGAAATTTATGAACGGGTTTTGAGTTATTTTTAGTGGGTAAACAGAAATTGGAGCCAAATTCGAACGAAAATGGGATTGTTTTTGCTAAAATACGATAGCTTTTGTGGAAAAATGCCCCGTGAAAGAATGGAGGAGTATTTTGCAATATAAAACAAGGTGTGGTACACTCTAAGAAGCGTGTTTTGAGGGAAAATTTTAGCTAGAATTACGAAAAAGATCTGAAAACGGGGGAAAATAAGAAAAATTGTCAGATTTGATCGAAGATCGGGCGAAAATCGGCCTTTCCGCCCCATAAAAGCCCCCAAAAATAGTTAGACAAGGAACGCTGGCTAACGTTTTTTTCTCGTTTGAACCCCCAATCTAGCCGTGGGGGCGCAATTTGGGAGGCCCCACTTCATTCCCGGCTATTAGAAGGAAGTTCGATTCCGGTCTCGGAAAAAGCCAAATGCCCGCCGGGTTTTCGCGCATTGCATGGGAAATTGGAGTGGGTTTGGAGAGGGGAGAGGAAATTTTGATTGTAAAATACGATTTTTAAAATTGTTTGAGCTCATTTTTTAGGGGAGAAAAATATAAAATTTTGTTTTGAATCTAGAAATTAAGGGATAATTAAGTTCGAAATAGAATATTGATTGTAAAATACGTGGATCGCTACTAGCTGAATAAGTTTTTATTAAAAAAACCGCGTAGAAATAAAAAAAAAAATCAAAAAAAAAACTGTAATTTTTACAAAATTTTTTATCTTCTAAGACGAATTTTTATGCTTACCGTTATGCCCTACCACTCCAAATATTTCTAATAGGCTTTTTCTGTCAAAAAATTTTTAGTTTTTTAGTTTATCATTTTTTCGTCAAAAAACCATATAAAATCATTCAAAGCCTCAAAAACCCCCCAAAAATTTTTAAAAATCTCAAAAAATCCACCCTACCATTCCTACAGAAATGTCATTTTTTGTCCCAACTGCCCCTAATTACCCGCACTCCCTAAATATGCAGCCAGTTGTTCCAGGTCGTGCATAAATTTCCCGGAGGCATTTTTCAGCCCCGCCGCCGAACCCCATAAATCACGCTGCCCCATTTATATGTATACAAGGCCTGGTAACGCGAAGGTCTCGAGGATATCATTTTGAAGACCTCTTGGACCTATTTTTAGTTGTTTTTGAAAGTTTGGAATTTTTGAATTTCAAATTTGGCGGGATTTTTGGCATTCCGTCTTGGGCTGAAAAATGGTTTGAAGATCGGTTTAGAGTAGTAAGGAGGTGCTCTAAGACCGTTAAGTGGTCATCTTCAAAATTTTTATCGTTAAATTTTAAATTTTGCGGGGTTTTTGGCATTCTGCATCAAGCTGAAAAATGGCTTGAAAAACCATTTTAGAGTAATAAGAATGTGTCCTAAGGCCGTAAGAAGTCTCTTTCAACACTTTTAAGGCTTAAAATTTAAACTTCGCGGGGTTTTTGGCATTCTGTCACAAGATTATTTTTCAGCTGAAATTCGGGATTTTTTGATTTTTAATGGTCCATCTAGCCCAATTGAAGTAATATAGCACCAAAACATACCGGGCTGATCCGAGAATGAGCCCAACTTGACCCTCTTTCCTTATTCAAGTTGATCACCGGCTCCTGCAGGCCCAAATTGCTCTCCGTCAAGGCTTGATTCGACTCTCTCGGTGAGCTGTGGGCACTCGGCACCGTGCCGACACTTAATTTCGGGCCTCGAACTTCCAGCAAACCATACTTTGAGTCCGACAACGATCGATGAATCCGATGGCCGCCTTGATTCAGCTCAACGTTCTCTTCAATTTGCAGCAACTCGGCGGGAATTGGTCCACTTCCAATGCGAATTGCACCCGCCGAAAAATTGATGCATTTCGGCGGACTGGTCGAGGCTTGAGCATCATGCGAGTCCGAGCCAGAGGTGCCAAGTCTTGGCCGGTAAGGCGGTGGAGGCGGAAGATAGGAGCAACTACTTTCGGCGCTCAAAGTTGAGCCGAACCCAGAGTCGCTGAAGTGATTTTGGTAGGGTTTATTGCGATTGGAGCCGTTGGTAATCGTTGACAAACTTCTGGAGAGTACGGTCATTGTATTGGAATAATGAGTTGGCGGTTTGAAGGGTTACTGTAGCCACATCAAGTAGGTTTAGTTATGATTTTAGGGAATATAGGCAATAAATTAGGTAAACAAAGTTTGGTTGATTACTAGCAGTAATAGATAGATCAACATAAACGCTTCTGGCAATGCGTAGTATAGGTCATTGGCTTTCATATGGCATTATAAAGAAGTTGAGTCAGCGTTTTAACTAGCCGAAATATGAGCCACAAAATAAGCTCAAATTCTTCCGAAAAGTAAACAATTTTCGGTTCGTTGCGCAATAATTAACTCATTTAGCCGGCCAAAAAGTATTTCATAACATAAACAGTAGTGCAGCGGGTGCTCCGACCTATTTCCGTCCCAATCAGCAATCGATCCGGCCGGTTTGCAGCTATTTTTAGCCGAAAATCGAATGGAATGCGATTCCGGCCCCGACAGCGAATCCCCCTCCGGCGTTTTATTGGAGGTGGCCTCGAGGCGGCGAGGAATGCGAGGAATCCCGCCCGTGGAATTTAACACTCGGCACGGCGCGTTTGATCGGGGCGGCCCGGTGATCTCCGGATCGCGGGCCGCTCTCCCCAAAGTCTGCGATCCCCGCCGCGGATAAACACACCGGCCCCGAGGAAGAGCGGAGGGGGGTGACAATGTCTAACAAGCGAGATTTTTGATGCCCTGTCCTTGTAATTGTCATGTCAACCGGCGGCACGAAATGATTGAACACTCGACGTTCGGCCGGATTTACGTGAAACTTTTATGGGTTAGAGGTCAGAAAGCAGTGATTTTTGGCAGAAAAGGCTCAGATTCTGTTGAAATTTATTAATGTTAATGGCAACTAGTAAAGTTTGAGCTGAAAAATGTGAATATTAGTTGACAAATTTCACTGCAAATCAATCAACTATCAAGAACAGAAGAAAGAGGGACGTATTTTACACTCAACTCACCTCAGCTGATTATTTGGCCGAACCGGTGAGAAAGTTATGGAGCCCCCAGAAACCGCACTTCTCATCCCATTCGAAGCGCAAAGATTGACCGAATTTGTGGAATGCGCGGTCTGTCGATGGCCCTCGGCGATTGGTCGAAGTTCGTCCGCGAATCGCGCCGAAATCGGGCGGCTTACGGTGTTGGCGTAGGGCAGGGAGTTGCGTCGAACTTTGGCCGGTTTCTGTGACCAGCCCATGTTGAAGATGTCAAACGGGTTCATGTTATGCATGGTAGTGTAGAAATCAATGTGATAAGGTAAAATACGCGATTTGACCTCGGAAAATAATTTTTTTTGGCTCAGCTATCCGATAGATTAGTAATTTTGGAGATTCACGTTTTTTTACAAAATCCTGTAGCTCCCTAGCACTACAGTTGTCAATAAAGTTGTAATATGATGTGATGATGATTGTCGATGAATATCCTACTATTCAGAGCTCTTCTGACGGCTGCAGCGGCCGTCAAATTTGACCACGGTCAAAATGGTGGGTAATGTCAAAGATGTCGCAGCTATCTGGCAGCTAGCCAAAAGTTGGCCTGCAGATAACTGGTATGATAGTAGGAGCCCTCAGAGAGCGGAGTGGTCGATTTTATTTCCAAATTGCTCTATCAGCCGCGTTGAAAACGGCTTTTATTCAAAGCCTGGTCTAATGGAAGTGTAATATCGGAAATATGGTCGATTCAAAAAGATGGCTTGAAATATGGCCAAAGTAGTTTCTGTAGACAATACTGTTATCCAGTAGCTTCAATACGATAGATTGTTCAACCACTCAGCACCGCCCAGCCTCCAAAGGTGCGGTTCCAAAGCAATCCTTCCAAATCTTCAAAGATCTTCGCTGAACTTTCAGGAATTCGCATTAAATCAGATCGAAAAAACAAAAGTTCAACCGGTCAAACATCCCGGAAATAATGGGTCTGAACGCCGTTCGAGATGTCAATAAGCCGAGGTATAAAAAATCGGTGATGAGTTAAAAATAGGACTCAAAAAAAAATGGGTACAACTTGAGCGAAAAACAAAAGAATATGTACGTGGAAAGAAGAAGGTGCATAAAAAGTGATGTCATTCTTGAGGATTGGCAAGAAAAAAATGAAAAAAAAATCGAAATTGAGGCTGTACCGTGCATTTTCGAAAAAAAACTTTGCACGGTGCGAAAAATAAAAAGTAAAATTTCGCACCGTGCAATAATGGGATGGTAAAATACGTGCAATGTACTGGTTAGAATAGTAAATACGAAGATGTAGGTTCCAAAGAACACTAAAATACGACATTCGCCGCAAATTTGAAGGTCATAAAATCGACTCTCTCCTCGAATTTTGAAGAATCCCTTCAAATAAACGTTTTATCCGAGTCGGAAAAACGAAAAAAAAAATTCTCGAGATCGGAATTCGGGAAATGAGCGGCCGAAAGGTTCGGCCGGACAGGTATGAAAGCCCATCGAACTGGGATGGGGCACCTGGAAGAGGAGTTTTGACGCTCAGCTGTCTCTTTGCAATGTCTTTGAGGGGCCCAATCAGTTTTCCAAAAAATTTTTTATCCAGATGAGATGATAAAAAACACCGCCTCGGGGGTTTTAATGGCAAAAGTTTCGAAAAAAAATGATAAAAGTTTTTAAAAAAATTAAAATTTTTAAAAATCAATTTTTACAAAATTTGCCCTCTGGCAGGAAATATTTTTTTTTATTTTTGAATAATTTTTTTTATAATTCAGACCGTATTTTACATTTTTTGTCATATTTTTACTGCTTAAAACAGAATGCCAAATTTACCCGCCAAATTTGAATTCAAGTTTTTTTATATATTATATTATATTTCATTTTGATTTTGAAATCTAAAAATCAATGCAAACATACCACAAGGTCGCGCAACGCCTCATCGCCATTGTTGTCGTAGACCCACTTCAAAATCTTATATCTGACCTTGCGATCTGGTGGTGCGATTTTGTCCGCATCGATCGCCTGAAATACAGAAGAAAATATTGGAAAAATGGACAATGCTAGTTCTCACGTATTTTAAAAATCTTATATAGTGATAATAAGCAAAATATTTGTGTCATCAAAAGATAAAAAAAATTTTGCTTTACGAATGCTAAAAAAAAATTGTTGAAATTTTCTGTGACTCTGCACTGTGCATGAATTCAAAAAAAACCGTTTGCACTTTGAAAATTTTCGAGCAAATCCGCGGCGACACAGTTGGAAAAGGCTTCTGTCGCGGTGATTTTTCGAATACTGGTCGTTCCAGAAAGTGCGCAGACTTTTTCCGGCCATTTTTCGCCGGAAAATGGGCGATTTTTGTGCACAGTGCACCGCGACAAAAATCTACGTACTGTTTCGAAAGACTATTTCACAAAAAAATCCTCACTTTGCAAAGCTTCTCCAACGTGATTCTGCCCGAGCCTGTCGAGCCTTGATCCGAGATCGGCGACTCCTCATTACTACTGGTATTCCCACTGCCAATCGAGTTGGTATCCTTGTTTTCCCAGGTGGTTGAAGAGGGGTCTGACGTCGGTCTTTCCTGATTATTATTCCGCTCAAAATTCTCGATTTGAGTTTGAACATTCCCGTTGAGAATGTCGTCGGCTGGCGTTGTCATCACCATATTCGTTTTGTAGCGAGGTATTGGGGAGACGGAGCGGTGACGGCTAGATTGCAATGGGGTTATCCATTGACGGTCACCTGAAAGAAGTGAAATTTGAAAATTTTGTTTTGTTCAAAAGTTTTTTTACTTTTTTTTATAAAATTATGCAAGAGCAAAGAGCACAGAGCCCGTATTTTACAAGAACAAAATTTAAAAAAAAAGGTACAGAGAATTTATGATGACGTATTTTACCATGTAACAAGGAGCAGTTATTTACATGGTAAAAGGCCGAATTGCAACACCTTTCGCAAAAAGTGCAAAATTTTTATCAAAGTTTGGACTACAAATCTTGGAGAGAAGGCTAGAAATCTATTAAAAAAGTCCTTCCGGAAAGTCGCCGGACTGATTTTTATCACTGCGCAAAAAAGGTCAGGATTTGAGTAACAGCCAAAAAGCCTACCGCAAGGAGGTTGCTATTAGTATTTTTATAAGATAAATGGAAATTCTTCTTGATTTCCCGCTTTCGCACCGTGCATTTTTCACTTTTTGCACCCTGCAAACGTCGAAAAAGCCGTTTGCACTGTGCCAACGCCCATTTCAGGAGTTGCGGCCCAGTGCGCTTAAAATTATAAGCCAATGTGAGCATCGCACTTGAAATCTGTTCTTCCTTAATTTTGGTTTATTACAATTGAAGTTTTTATTACAGTTTGAACGTTGCACTTGAATAAAAAAATATTTATTTTTTTATTTTTGTAAAATCTGAAGATTAAAGCAAAATAAAGCTCAAGCGTATTTAACAAAAAAAAAAAAAAAAAAAAATTCAATATCAAAAGTTTAAAATAAGGGAGGGTGAAAAACTGGAGCCTCCCTGTTTAAAAATAAATAAATAAATTCAACCGTATTTTACAGGAAACATAAATTTCTCACGCAAATATTCCGCCTCGTTTCGCCTTTTGCACCCCGCAATTTCACCGATCAAGGTCATTTTTAAATACATTTCGGGCATTGTTGTAAAAAATCGGGGGCAAATTGCGGGAAAATACCAAAAATAAATAAAAAAATTAAAATTAAAAAAAAATATATATTTTTTATATTTTGCAATTTAAAAAATTTTAAGTTCCCAATTTAATTTTTTTTTCGAATCCGCCGAAAATCCCTCGATTTTGTTGTTTTTTGGTGTCTAATTATCCGATCGCCTCGATTTGAAGAGAAAGTTGGAAGACGGAATCGGAAAAAAATAAAAAATAACATGTTTTTGATCGAAAATGCCGCTGTTTTTCGTTTCTCTGTGTTTTTTATTTTTATTGTGAAGTAATCGCAACAATAGCCGTATTTTACATTAATTATCGTTTATCCAGAAGTTTTTTAAAATTTTTTAAATTTACAAAAAATATACAGGGTGGGGCATCTTTGTGGCCCGATTTGAATTGGCTATAACTTCTTTCGTTTTTGGTCAAATCTTAAAATTCTTTTTTTTCCCTGAATCACCAGACAACCCCATTTTGTCTGATATCAAATATGTCATGCATAGTAAGTGTCATCTACAGTTATTGGACTTATTCTTGGAGTTCATTTTTTCGGTCGTTTTTCGGTTGTTTTTTCGGCCTTTCCCGGTGTGTCCGAAAATGGAGTCCGGTGTGGAAGAAAAAGCTTGGTCTGTGGTTTGGCATAGCAAGCACGGTTCGGCGATAAATTTTCAAACGGGGATACCGCATGAAATACGGACGTAACGCCTAACCTCCAGATCGCAAGAATATTCGACGTTGGTGGAATAAGTTCCTTGAGACTGGCAGCGTTAACAGGAAACAAAAAAAGCAGGAAAGATGAGTACGAACGGAGCTGAAAATTTAAGAAATTGTCAAAATTCCGAGAAAATTCGCATATGAGTACACGAAGGTTGGCCAGAACCGAGGGAATGCCTTCAGCAAGGACCATTCGACGAACTCTGGAGGTTGATCTTCACTTTTTGTTCTTATTCTCATCGTCGATTTTCAGGAGGAGAAATTCCACCGTATTTTTCTTCCATACCGTGCTCAATTTCCGGACCCACTGGGAAAAACCGAAAAAACAACCGAAAAACGACCGAAAAAATGAACTCCAAGAATAAATCCAATAACTGTAGATATACACTTACTATGTATAACATATTTGGTATCAAACAAAATGGGGTTGTCAGAGGATTCAGGGAAAAAAAGAATTTTAAGATTTGGCCAAAAACTAAAGAAGTTATAGCCAATTCAAATCGGGCCACAAAGATGCCCCACCCTGTATAATTTTCTACGCAAGGTCTGTCGTATCTTACATTTTAAGATTTTTTTTAATTTAATTTATTTTAGTTCCAAAAAATCCCAAAATTTTGTAATTTCCTTCCCAAAAACAAGTCAAAATTAGCCAAAGAATTCAGAAACATAAAGCGGATCAAGCCATTCGCCCATTCCCTAAGCCAGATTGCCTCAGGGAATGGCGCTAATTGTGGTCTGATTGATTCGAAAAAAAACGAAAAGACACCCACATCCCCCTCTGATTTTCATTTCTCCTGGACACTTACTCTGTTTCATGGCCTCGTCCAATTGCTTCAGGGTGTTGGAGAGGAGCTGGTTTGCCTCCAGGAAACTGTCCAAGTCGCCCATTGCCGGAGGGCGATGGAGCTGGAGGAGCTGAAAATATTTTTGTTTAATCCAGAAAACCGATTTGTTACACATATTTAATGCTATATAAAAATCGCGGTAAAGACTAAAAATCTAAAAAAATGCAAAAAAGTAAGGGATAACATACAAAAATATATTTTTTTTTCAAAAAAAGTAAAGAAAATGCTTAAAATTTAACAAAATACCCTTAGGGCAGATACTCCGACTTTCGTTTATTTGCCTCTACAGGCTACACAAATCTTATTTCATTTTGCACAGTGCAATTCAACACAAAATCGACTGCACGGTGCAAAAAAAGACAAAAAAACCGATTGCACTGTGCGAAGAAAACAAAAAATCCTTTTGTCAAAATCTGGCGTAGCAAAATGGAACAGTGCACATTTTTGCGGCCGAACTCAAAATAAAACTTTTTTTGGCCCCAAAACATCCTAAATGGATTATTACGCAACAACTTTAAGTCAGTTTGTTGGGAAAATAATGTGGATTTGTCGCAGCACAACGTCTCGCCTCGTCGTGTCATTATTGATAATGATTTGTTAGTAAATTGCCGGAGGCAAAATGCACCGTTATTTGCATAAATATCAGTTTGTCGGGAAAATAATGTGGGTTTGTCGCTTCAAAGTGCTTCGCTCGATCTCCAGCCGCAGCTAGCCGTTGCAAAGCGATGATGGCGATTTCAAGGCGCGAAAAATCCACATTATTTTCCCGACAGAATGATACACCAGAAATCTTTGTCTCTACTTGGTCTTCATTACATTTAACCTCGCTTTTACTTTATCAAAAAATTCCAAAAGCCCCCCTAAAGTCGTCAGCAAAAATTAACCCCAATCCATTTCCCAACGCTATAAAAGAAAGTTTCCCAACAAAGATTCGTTGGGGGGAATCGTTGGAAAAACCGCCTCTTAAAAGTTCGCTGCAAGGCTTTTGTGGGAAATGGGATTTTACGACGTTTTTGCGCTTCACTGCCCGGATCACCTAGAAATTCAATCTCAAATTACTACGTATTACAGCCGCGCTAATCGCATCTGCATGACACCTTAATTGAAATAAAACGGGGGGAAAGGGATGTAAGATACGACGTCCAAGAATGTCGATGAATATTCGAGGCTTTTTAGAACATTTTGCAATGAAAAGTTTCATTCTTATTTCCACCGGAAAAAGCAATGTTTTGTGCAAAAAATCGGCCATTTTTGATATAAACTGCCAGAAATACGACAAAAAAACACCTTTCTTTCTGACCGCTCTCAATATTCTCCCTATCCTCTCTCCTCAAAGACCCTTGAATATCTCGGTGGTGTTGCGAAGCAAAAGCTAAAATTTTCAAGACTTGAAAATGTGATAAGTCATGTTTGTAGGGAAAATGAGAAGAGCGGATAAAAAACAAGAAAACTAACGGTTGAAATATTGGCCTTGAAATGTCATTATTAATCATGATTTTTAAGGAAATTGCCGAAGGCAAAATGTGCTCCATGTTTCGCAAAAGTATGAGATTGTCGGGAAAATAACGTGGATTTGTCGGTAAAAATGTCTCGGCTCGCCACAGTCGTGGCTTAAATTTTCAGCCGCAGCTAGCCGTCGCAAAGCGATGATGGGCGACTCCAAGGGACGACAAATTCACATTATTTTCCCGACAGACAGATAGGATTTACATATAAACAAAATTTGAAGGAATTCCAGGCGTCGCAACACCAAGAAAAATTCGTTGTCTACAAAAAAATTCCACATTGTGCAAAACGCAGCTTCATAATTTGCAAATTTCCCCTCAAAATCTCCAAAAAAAAGGCCGCATCCCTCTCAATTTCCTAGCTATTATTGGCCAGTTTACAAGTTTCGTCGTAAATCAAAAGGTAAGAAACGCGGCGGATTCGGAAGCCATAAAACCCCGTGCGGACATCATTTCCCGCCTATAAAACGGGGCATTCAATTTTATATTTTTATGCCGTTCAAATTGGCGATATGTGGTGCTGTAATAAGGCGGAAAAAACGGTTCAAAAATTTTTACGACCCGGCATTTATTATATAATAAATAGAACTAGGCGATATCAGTGTTAAAGTCGATTATTTTAATGGGATTTGGAGATTTTTTGAGCAGAAAATTGAAAAAATTTCGATGAAACGGAAGATTTTTTCTGACTTATAAGGTTTATGATAGATCTCAGAGGATTCTTGAGCACGTATTTTACATTTTTTAATACTTTTTTATACCTTTTTCTCCATAAAAACACCAAAAATCCAGCAAAAATCTCAAAATTTTCGATATTTCTGGATAAAACAAAAAAATGTATGTCCTAAAACAATATAAAAGAGAGTTTTTTACAGATTGAAGCTTCTCATAACAAGGGCCGGACATTTCGGAAAAACGACCAACTCAGAATCTTTTGATATTTTGCATAGTTGTTGCACCATGATAGCTGAACGTCAGCGTGAATTTTTAGTTTCTGAAACTACCGTATAGGGGGGTTACGGTAGGTACAATTTTCACAAAGATTGGGTTCGTGTGTAAAAACCCCGAGGAGTAAAAGCACAAAACCTTGCTGTTTTACGTTTTTGACCATGGGGAACATTTTCATAATTGACAACTTTATCGTAGGATGTTGCCTTCGACTACTTTGAAAAATACCAAGGTACCATATTGAATGTAACTTTTCGGCATTCTACTTGTCTCAACTTTTGAAACCTCTCAAAAATACTTTGACATAGGTGTAACAACATATCAAAAATCCGCGAAAATAAAAGGGGTGGTTTTGGAGTTACGGTACTTTGAAGGCAGCCGGTACCGTATATCAAAATTTTATTTTTTCTAAAATTGACGTAGAAACCCCGCAAACCTCGCCGAAATACGTTTTCGACCCTCGCGAACATTTTTGTAACTGACACTCTTTTTGTAGGATGCGGCCTTCGACCGCTATGAGAAATGTCAAGATACCATGATCAATATAACTTTCCGGCATTCAACTTGTCTCAACTTTTGAAACCTTTTAAAAACACCTTGACATATGTGTAACAACATATCAAAAATTTAGGAAAATAAAAGGGGTGGTTTTGGAGTTATGGTACTTTGAATTTTGGACATACAGTACACCTCGATTTATTCTCGGCTCAACTTTACGTAGATTGTCTTAAAAACAAAATGTAATGCTCTATGTATGTTGTACGACCCTCAAAAACTATTTTCACCAGGAAACTCAGAAAATTTTGGCCTAAGCATACTGTAACATATCGTGCGCAAATAATTGGTTACTGTAACAGCAAGATCAGCGATTTGTTAAATGTTTTGTACCGATTACCACGGTGTAGAGTCGTGTGTGCCATACGACAGTAAAATCTTCCAAATTCGGACGTCAGCATTACAACAAAAGTTCGGTGTACTGTATGATCAAGATTAAAAGTACCATAACTCCAAAACCACCCCTTTTATTTTCCTAAATTTTTGATATGTTGTTACATACATGTCAAAGTATTTTTGAAAGGTTTCAAAAGCTGAGACAAGTAGAATGCCGCAAAGTTATATTGATCATGGTATCTTGACATTTCTCATAGCGGTCGAAGGCCGCATCCTACAAAAAAAGTGTCAATTACAAAAATGTTCGCGAGGGTCGAAAACGTATTTCGGCGAGGTTTGCGGGGTTTCTACGTCAATTTTAGAAAAAATAAAATTTTGATATACGGTACCGGCTGCCTTCAAAGTACCGTAACTCCAAAACCACCCCTTTTATTTTCGTGCATTTTTGATATGTTGTTACATACATGCCAAGGTATATTTGAGAGGTTTCAAAAGTTGAGACAAGTAGAATGCCGCAAAGTTATATTGATCATGGTATCTTGACATTTTTCATAGCGGTCGAAGGCCGCATCCTACAAAAAAAGTGTCCATTACAAAAATGTTCGCGAGGGTCGAAAACGTATTTCGGCGAGGTTTGCGGGGTTTCTACGTCAATTTTAGAAAAAATAAAATTTTGATATACGGTACCGGCTGCCTTCAAAGTACCGTAACTCCAAAACCACCCCTTTTATTTTCGTGCATTTTTGATATGTTGTTACATACATGTCAAAGTATATTTGAGAGGTTTCAAAAGTTGAGACAAGTAGAATGCCGCAAAGTTATATTGATCATGGTATATTGGTCATTTCCCAAGTAGTCGACGACTGCATCCTACAGAAAAAGTGTCAATTGCAAAAATGTTCGCCGTGGTCAAAAACGTATTTTGGCAAGGTTTGCGTGTCTTCCACACCGGTTTTGAAAAAAATGATTTTTTGAAATACCGTATTGGCAACATCCAAAGTACCATAACTCCAAAACCACCCCTTTTATTTCCGCGCATTTTTGGTATGTTGTTACACACATGTCAAAGTATTTTTGAGAGGTTTCAAAAGTTGAGACAAGTAGAATGCCGAAAAGTTACATTCAATATGGTACCTTGGTATTTTTCGAAGTAGTCGAAGGCAACATCCCACGGTAAAGTTGTCAATTATGAAAATGTTCCCCATGGTCAAAAACGTAAAACGGCGAAGTTTTGTGTCTTTACTCCTTGGGGTTTTTACACACGAACCCAATCTTTCTGAAAATTGTACTTACCGTAACCCCCGTATACGGTAATTTCTGAAACTAAAAATTCGTACTGACGTTCAGCTATCATAATACAACAATTACGCAAAATATCAAAAGATTCTAAGTTGGTCGTTTTTTCGAAATGTCCGGGCCATCCTTCGAGTTATAAAAAACTCTCTTATAAAACCCATCTTATCCTATGACCTGAAGCACATCCCACTCAAATTCAACAAATTCCAAAGGTTAAATCTGTGGAAACAACTTTTTTTTTGTTGTTCTATCCATGGAAAACACCTGGATCAACCTAAAAACTCAAAAAAATCAGGTGAAAACCCCGTCAAAAAGCTGCATTCCCGACCTCCCAAGCTCTCAGAATTGCGCAATACTCTATTTCACATCATTTTATCACCTAATCAATCTAAATTCACATAAA